GTCGTCGAGCCGTCGTCGTCGCGTCGCGGCCACGCACGTGCTCAGCACAACGTGCAGCGACTGAACTTTGGAAGTTGAAGTTGTGCTCTTCAATGCTTCGCTCTTTCCCAGTTGCTTCGCTGAGTAGCGGCGCCATGGGCCCCGTTCGGTGGAAAAGTGCGAAGCGCATTGTACAGGGTGGCTGCGCACACTAGCACTCGAACATGCCAAGGCTGACCATTAAAGGAACGAGCAAACAAGGGCGAAATAAACAATTTCTCGGCGGTGCATCACGGACCCAAGAACTGCACAGCACTCTCGGTGGACTTGTAGTAGGCAATGGTATTCCTCAAAGTCATCCTTGTACGCTGCCGCCAAATAGATGTTGAAGGCATACCCGTAGCGGAAACAAGATGGTTGCAACGTCTCATAACCATAGTTCATGCGGAGCATATACTCCACAACCAAAGCAGCGTATGCCTTGTTCGTCGCATGATGGAGGTAGTGCTCAGTCTTTGCTAGCAGGTCTCTCGACGTCTCCACAAGTATGCCGTGGTATACCTTGTGCACCTCGAAGCCCAACCGGCTTGGAATGAAATGGTCGGTTACGAGCTTATGGTTGTGATAGTCAGACATGTCCATCTGCGCGATGTCTGGCAGGTCACAGGTGCAGCATCGCTTCCGAACTGCCTCCGCTTCAGCTTGGGCCTCTTCCGCTGAGAGGCATCCCAATGCCATTCCTTGCTTCATGATATCCGCCAGCTTCAAGCTCAAACCCGACTCACATGCGTCCCGGTCAATGCTCTTGGTGTCCACAAGGTCATTCGTGAAGCTGGTCATCCTCGCGGACGCAATCCAACATGCCTCCAACATGGCGTCGTCCGCCTCGTGTGGAGTCAACTGTTGTCCGGTCATCCCCGAAGAGAAAGCATGCAACAGAGCAGGCAGGCCCACGCTGATCCGAACGCCGCCCATGTCCTCCAACCCTCCACTGCGGCGATCCACGTACGCAGCGTGGGTTTCTGAAGCTTTGCCGGTTGCAGAGTCGATCGCGCGGATGTACATGTTCAGCCACTTCAGCACTTGCCCTTTCACTAGCTGGCCATCTTCTGGGCACACGGCCAAGTTTCATGATCTCCCGCAAGATCCTGTGCAAATGCTGGCCAGAGGCATACATACAGCGGCTTGAGCTTCTTCAGATGCGCAACGGTTGCCGGCCACATGCTTCGGAGGGCCCGAGGCTTTGGGTGCCAAAGCGGGTGCCCCTGGTGGCTTCTGCGACGACTGCTTCTGCTCCACCTTCTTGGCGACAGCGGGGCCCGTAGGTTGATTGGCGCCTGCGTCCTTAGCGGGCGGCGGCGCGGGGGCAGAAGTGGCTTGCTTAGGTGGCGCCGGCGCTGAAGAAGCGGGCTGCCCGTAAGTCTCCTGAGCCACCGAATCTTGGAATTCTGGCGGCGCTTGACTTGAAGCCGCCTGTGGAGCCGACGAGGAAGCGGAAGCTGAGGATGCCGCCTTAGCCGTTTTGGGTGCCGGTTAGCGCTGCCCTCCAAAAGCGTCATAAACTTCTCCCGCTCCGACTCAGGAATTGTTTGCAACAGCTTGTGGACGTAGTCAGCGCTGAAGCGGCCGCGCGGCATGTTTGCAGCGTACGCTAAAGGAAGCTCACAAGCGGGATCTCGGGCACTGGGAAGCGTAGGGAGTGAGAATGATCAAAGCCGTCATGAATGCCGCACATCACAAATGCAGGAAGAGTTTGAAAGCGGGTGCACGCACAAACACTTTATGCACCCTCCTCTGCGGATGCGATAACGCATGCCCTGCGTCTGCACAAGCGGGCATCTGCTGGTAAAACGGAAGCTGAAGTAAAATCGGAAAAGCAGCCACAGGCTGGCTGGCATCGGAAAGTGCAATCGGCCGAGCGACACGCAAGACAAAGCATCCGGGAGCCTGGATGGAAAATAGAGAAGTGGGCTATCCCTGAGCTACCTATCAGAAAGCGGACCGATGCACAAGACGAGAATTTCACAGCTGGGGGATTATCCCGCGGCGGTTGGGGAGCCGGCTCATCGTCACCGTCCGACTTCCAAGCGGGAGCACCTTGCAAGTTTGCATCATCTGAGACGCGGGACTCAGGAAGCGGCGCCAACTCACCGTCCGAGTCCTCAAAGTGAGGTGCCCTGCAAAGCGGCTTTGGCAACTCCTCCGACTGTGCGTGAGAAGAAAGTGAGCCAGAGGCGGCAGCATCCGCAATGTCGTTCTTCTGAAGAGCCTGCCAAGCCAAGCAGGACTGAGCATCCGAGTTCAGCGCAAAGCAGGACATAGTAGAAGGCCGTGATGTCCATGAGAAGCCTGCCAAGACGGGATAATTTTCTTGAAGCGGGGCTTGACCTCCTCTATGTTGCGGCAGCATTGGTGCAAAGCCTTTGTGAATAGCACTCCATACTGCAAGCTGGGCTCTCAAGGCAGGCCAAATATCGTCCCTGCTGTAAAGTTGTATGCTCCCAGCTAAAGCGTGATGGCCCTGAAGCGTCCTGGCAGAAAGAGGGAGATCCAACTGGGCCATCCACGAAAGCATTGTCACCTTCATGCTGTGAAGAGTGTAACAGCTGGCCTGTTCCTTTGTCACATGCTCATCTTCACCGGTGAGCTCGCTCATCTCCTGGTAGGTCATCCCTTGGAGGAACGCCTTAGCAACATCTACTGCAACAAGCTTCCAGCCCGGATGGCAGGCTACTTCTGAGCTGAGTAGCCGTTGGGACTGCCTGGAGCCTGTCGCAGCGAAGTTTTCTAGGCCCTCGCGCATGTCTTTGAAACCGCGCAGTGCAAGTCGCATTCGAACGACCCTGTTTTCCATTTTCCATTTGGCGACAAACTTA